TATATATATATATATATATATATATATTGTATACATTGATATTTTATTGATAAATCATATTAGTTTTTGGATTAATCCATAAATTTATGATATACAAGATAAATTCAGATTAATATTTAAGGAATTTTACACAAACTCATAGTGTTAAGAGCTAATTAAGTTGACAAGACGAACCTAACTCATGTTCTTCAAGCTCAAGATCCGTTAAAATTACTTGAAGACCGAAATATCCTCAAACTCTATAAACTCTAGCTCACAACTATATAAAGAAGTCTTCATATTTTCCTTTCTTGATTTCTATATTTCAATAACAAAACTTTAGTAACATACAATAGTCTTTGCATAAAATAAGGGTAATGGTTATTTTTCAAAGTTGAGTAAAGTTTGATTTTTGAACCAGAATTGAAGGGGTAAACCCATTTATAATTGATATTCCAAAAGTACTTTCCAAAAAACTTGTAAGTATTTTATTTTTTTTAGCTTCTAGAAAATTAAATTTTTACTACTACAAGCACTTATTTTGTTCTAGAATGTTCCTTTGCTCTCTAAACAAATACTTCTCTATTAAAAGAAAAAACTCTTTTAGTTTCCAAAATATTAGCTAAAGAAGATATTAATCAATAACAGTTACTCATCTAGGATGTGGATTACATATACCTATGGGCTGATTAGTTCCTCAAACTTGTCAATAAAGCTAAAGATTAGTAGTGAGTTTGGGCTTTTATATGATAAAGCCCAATCTAATTGAGGAGCCATGTTTTTGTGTTAAACATACATTTTATCCTTTGCAATCTTTACATGATAAATTTTTTTAAATACGTATCACCTTCTTCAGATCTCATTTGTGAAATATATATTAGAAGATCAATGGAAGAATGCATATATGGTTGTGCATATGTATTTAGGAAAAAGGAAGAGGGATAAAATTAATTTGATAAATACATGTATTAGAAGAATTAATATCATTGATTTAGACTATGTTTTTCTCCTTTATCTTCAAAATAATAACATTAATTGGAAGTGTTGTTCCTCTCAAAACAAAGAAAAGTAAAATTAACAAAACAAAAACAAAAAGGAACAAAGAAATATATATATATATATATATA